AAGCCTCCAACCTGAAATAGACCAAAACAAATAAGAAAATAGGAACTTTGAGGAAACAAAGAGGGAAGAAAGAAAGACAAATAAAAGCTATAAGCATATCATCAAACACATAAGAACAGGAGTCTATAAAAACGAACAACTAGAGGGGCGCCTGGGTGGCTCAGTCGTTAAGTGTCTACCTTCGGCTCAGGTCATGGTCCCAGGGTCCTGGGATCAGGCTCCCTGCTCAGCGAGAGGCCTTGTATTCCCTCTATCTCTGTCTCTGTCTCTCTCTCTCTGTCAAATAAATAAATAAAATCTTAAAAAAAAAAAAAAGGAACAACTAGAGAACAAGAAAGAGATCTTGGAAGCTAAATATATGATAGCCAAAATTAAAAGTTTTCACCAAAATATTAGAGGAAACATTGAGGAAATCTCCTAGAGAGTGATATTAAAAAAAAAAAAGAGGTAGAAATAAATGAGAAGAAATGGAAAAAATAGAGGGTTAATTCAAGGAGAGCAAAGTCTGACCAATAAGTGTACCAGTAAGAGAGAACATGAAAACAGAGGGGAAATCGCCTTAGAGGTTATTCAGGAAAATAGCCAAAATTGAAGGATGGCTATCTGGATTGATAGGTACACTGAGTGCCCAGTCTATTGGGTGGAAAATGCCCCTAACAGAGGTAAAATTTTCAGAAAGAAAAAACAGCTGGTTCCCTACAAAGAATTAAGAATCAGAAGGGCGCTACAGAAGCACTGGAAGCTCCCGGACAATGGAGCAAGGCCCTCAAAATTCTGAGAATTCTTTAGCCTGCCAAGCTATTAATCAAGTCTGAGAATAGAATTGTTATTTTTTTTAGAGATTATTTATTTATTTATTTGACACAGAGAGAGAGATAGTGAGAGAGAGAGCACAAGCAGGGGGAGCAGCAGAGGGAGGGGGAGAAGCAGGCTCTCCACTGATCGAGGATCCCGATGTGGGACTCGATCCCAGAACGCTAGGATCATGACCTGAGCTGAATGCAGCTGCTTAACTGACTGAGCCACCCAGGCACCCCTGAGAATAGAATTATTATTATTATTATTATTTTTAAAGACTTTATTTATTTATTTGACGGAGAGAGATAGCGAGAGCAGGAACACAAGCAGGGAGAGTGGGAGAGGGAGAAGCAGGCTCCCCGCGGAGCCGGGAGCCCAATGTGGGACTCGATCCCAGGACCCTGGGATCATGACCTGAGCCGAAGGCAGATGCTTAACGACTGAGCCACCCAGGCGTCCGAGAATAGAATTATTAAAGTATTGTTATATATGAAGAATAATGTACATCTTTAAATCCTTTCTCAGACAATTTATGGGAGGATATGATCCAACCAAAGGAGTAAACCAGAAATGAGGAGACATGGGTATTCAGAAAGAAAAGATAGCACCCAAGAGAGGAATTAAAGAAGTTCTGAGAAGACAGTCATGTAACAGACCTAGGGCCCGGATTAGACAGCGGGGAGACCTCAAGGGCAGTGTCACTGGGTGAACTGGAGGGATACCTGTTGTGACTGACTGTTTGAAAAACACTCTTCAGGGGAAGTTAACAATTATATTGTAAAGTTGGGGAGAAGTCATTAAAAAAAAAAGAACATCTAAAAAATGAGGCAGTTTTTAATTCTAGGAAGTTCAAACAACTGTACAATAAAATGTACCTATTGTATATTGCTTTGATTTCCATAGCTCCACAATAAGACAAATACTGGATGGTGATTTAACCAAACTTGTATATATCGTATGTCTGGAGGATGGAGGTAGGAAAAATGGGGATCTGGAGTGATATAAGGGTGCTACATCTTTATCTGCTTTATTAGCAAGTCAAAGATAAATCCTAAAATTGGTTCATCAAGAAATAGCAGCATAAGCATGTTATTTAGAAAGAAAATGTAGAAGAAACATGTTAAAGAGTTGAGGAATAGGACCCAGGAGTAGAATAGGGTGGGGCAGTGGACTCCTCTTTTTCAATCTAGGTGTTGTGGTACTTTAAAAAAAAAGTCTTTATAGATTACTTTATTAAAGAAGAGTATTTCCCAGAAGCATAAGAATTCTAAATTCTATTCCTACCTCAACTCAACATCTTACTGCTTAGCCCTGCATACATTCAACTACATGCATTCTGGTAGGCATTTGGGGTAGATATTTGGGATGACAAATTTCCAAAATCTCGAGGGTTGTGGCTGATGTGGGAGCAAAAATAGTTGCTACTTGCCTATCTGGTAGTTTCCCAATTGCTTTCTAGAAAAATATCAGTTCCTGGGCGCCTGGGTGGTTCAGTTGGTTAAGCGACTGCCTTCGGCTCGGGTCATGATCCTGGAGTCCCGGGATCGAGTCCCACAACGGGCTCTCTGCTCAGCGGGGAGTCTGCTTCTCCCTCTGACCCTCTTCCCTCTCGTGCTCTCTCTCATTCTCTCTCTCAAATAAATAAATAAAAAAATCTTAAAAAAAAATATCAGTTCCTGCCCTATTAGTTATCTATTCCTGTGTAACAGATTACCATAAAATTTAATGGTGTAAAACACTGAACACTGATCACTTCACAGTTTTTGTGGACCAGCAATTCAGGAGCAGTTGAACTGGGTGTGTGACTCAGTCTCTCACGGTGTTGCAATCAAGACTACGGCCTCAGTCAGCTGAAGGCTGCCCTAGGGCTGGAGGCTCTCCTTCCAAGATGGCTCACTTGCACCACTGCTGGCAGGAAGCCTCAGTTTCTGATGGAGAGGAATACAGTCTTATGGGTGCATACAAAAAGGAAACAGAGGACGCCTGGGTGTGGGTGGCTCAGTCAGTTAAGCATCCAACTCTTGGTTTTCGGCTCAGGTCATGATCTCATGGGTCATAGGATCCAGCCCAGAGTTGGGCTCTGCACTCAGCAGGGAGTCTGCTTGAAAGTTCTCTCCCTCTGCCCATTTCCCCACTTGTCTGTGCCTGCTCTCTCTCAAATAAATAAATCTGAAAGAAAGAAAGGAAGAAAGAAGAAAGAAAGAAAGAAAGAAAGAAAGAAAGAAAGAAAGAAAGAAAGAAAGAAAGAAAGAAAAAGGAAAAAAGAAAGAAAGAGGGCTGTTCTGGAGCAGCCATGTAGAAAATAGTCCATCTGAAGTTGGACTTTTGCCAAATGGGTGACAGAAAAAGAACAAGGGTCAAGGGAGTTTAAAATATTGGTGTGTTATGTTGAAATAATACACCAGTATGTGCTCATAAATATTTATTGAATTGAACCAAACCAAGCTGTCTTTTTCTGTCTCATTCTCTCTTCTTTACTTCTTAATGTCAGAGGTGATACATTTTGCTATGGTTGGACTAGTTTGACCAGAATACTTGCAGCTGAGAAGGAGAAGGGACTATCCCTGCTCAATCCATCTTCCTTGTTTATTAGCTACTGCAATTTTCAATTATATTTAGAAAAACAGAATTTTTTTTAGAAAAACAGAGTATGATAGTCATGCCAATACCCATGAGATTTTTTTTCCTAAAAATTTGAAGACCTGTTTTATGTGACTTTTGGTAATTTAGTTCACATAAATTTGCACTTTATATATATGTAGAAATACCTTTTAAACTCAAATATCCAGGGCCACTGTATAAGATCAAATGGAGTCTATTTGGGGACTTTTTTTTTCTTAAATATTTTATTTATTTATTTGACAGAGAGAGACACAGTGAGAGAGGGAACACAAGCAGGGGGAGTGGGAGAAGGAGAAGCAGGCTTCCTGCCGAGCAGGGAGCCCAACTCGGGACTCGATCCAGGACCCTGGGACCATGACCTGAGCTGAAGGCAGATGCTTAACGACTGAGCCACGCAGATGCCCCTATTTGGGGACTTTGACTTAGTCTATTGGAACAACAATAAATTATCCCCAGGAACAATGCTAGTAAGAGGTACAGCAATGGGGATCTGTTCTGCAAAAATGGAGGTTATTACTACCCTTCAAATAAATAATTTAAAATCACTATTTAAAACACTATTGAGTACTTACTATGTACCAGACATTGTGTTAATAGCTATAGGCACATATCTTATTTAATACTATGATATCCCTAATTTAAAATCACTATTTAAAAGGTATTTCTACTTACTATGTGCCAGACATTGTGTTAATAGCTATAGGCACATATCTTATTTAATACTATGATATCTCTATGAGATAGGTACAATTATAATGCTCATTTTATAGAGATTTTGAGAGATTAAATAATTTGTCCAAAGCAAGGTCTGTCAGACTTCAAGTTCTTTACTCTAACTACCTCATCGCCTTTATTTTGTGCCCCGTATCTCTATAACTTACCCTCTTCCAGTCTCACTGGCCTCCTTTCTGTTCCTAGAAATAAGCCAACTTCTTTTTTACCTAAGGATCTTTGCACTTGCTGTTTCCTCTGTCCGGAAGGTTCTTCTCCACTTTGTTGCTTGGCTGACTCCTATGTCAGATGCCTTCTAAATAAGTTCTCCTTACCTTGCTCTATAACAACACCATGTTTTATTTCCATTATAGTATTAATTACATCCTGAAATTATTTTTTAATCTCCCCACCAGATCGTATCCTTAGTACCTCATTCACTGAGTAAGTGAATAGCCTACTCCCGTTCCTGAAGGTCCTTGATAATAGTGTGTTATCCCAATAGGCTATCTGTGTTATCCCGATAGTCCACTAGAACTATTTAGAGCGACTGTACATTGCCAACTTCACTGCCATCTCAGTTTATCACAAAGTCTTCCGTGGTTTCCAGGACAGCCAGTGGTTTAACAATATTGAAACCTGAGGGGACGACCAAGGCAACAGCTCTCTGCTCTACCTAGCACGACCTGCAGGGGACGGTGTGTGTGGAGGCCTCCTTCGGTGCGCGACGGCGCTGTAGGGGAAACGAGACGCCGCAGAGGGAGGAGTGGAGTACAGAGGCGGAGCCAACCGGAAGGGGCGGGGTCGTCCACGAATCCGCGCCCCGCCCCCAGGCTTTCCTCCCTCGCCCCGCCCCTTCCCCCGCCCGGGCGGCCATGGCCATTCCCGGCATCCCCTATGAGCGACGGCTTCTCATCATGGCGGACCCTAGAGATAAGGCGCTTCAGGACTACCGCAAGAAGCTACTGGAGCACAAGGAGATCGACGGCCGTCTCAAGGAGTGTGAGTGAACCTTTCTTTCCACACAATCTTATACGGACGTGCTTCTGTCTCTAACAAAGCAGAGGCCCTTGCCGGAGCCCGGCAACCGAGCCCCAGGGATAAGAAGGCCTCGGTCCAGGGACAAGGCGCTTTGTCATCGGCCCTGAGCTTGGGAAGCACAGACTCTTCGTGCGTAAAAATGGCCCAGTTTGGTCCAGGTGACAGAGAGAACATCCCCAGTTCTGAGATGGAAGTGGAAGAGGACTAGAGGAGGAGTGAGGAAGAAGTGGGCCAGGGATGTTTGCCAGGTCGGGGTGCAAGGAGGACGGCGTAAGTGAGTCCCGGGACCCAGAGTGGAGAGACGTGAGTCAAGGAAACTCAAGCAAGAGATGAGACTCGAGATACTGGCATGTTATTGGGGTGGAAAGCCAGAGCGGAGCTTGAGAGAGGAGTCCATCGGTGGGTCATAATAACCCTCCTCGTATTTTGAGTTGTACTCCCATCAGGCACACAAGTTTCTCTTACTCTTGAACTAAAACGGTGCTTACATTTTTTCGTAGAGCACCTTCATTGAAAAGCCTGAGTGGTTTGATTAAATGGAGAAAGACTGTAACCATATAATTCTGTAGATCACTACACCTGTTGACCTTATTTAGGGTCGAAGGCCATAGAGTAATAATCCATGCGGGTAGCTGAAGAGGTGAGGAAGGGTCTCTTTTATCGTTCGAATTTGTAGTCTCAAAGAGTGTCAATATCTGTTAAGAATGTAGCAGTGTTATGAATGTGCTTGAACAAGTATTGCCAATCAAGAAAATAAAAATGTGCTTTTTCTGTAACATTTCATTTTTAAACATGTCCCCTACAAACGGCATTATTTCTTTTGTGGTTTCATACAGTGGATATAAAATATATGTAAAGTGAAATAGACTGAAATAAACTTAACTAAAGTGATACTTAGTGACTTAAACTCATTTAGATTATTGTTTAATTAAAAATGTTCAAATTATATTATTTCAGTAAGGGAACAATTAAAAGAACTTACCAAGCAGTATGAAAAGTCTGAAAATGATCTGAAGGCCCTACAGAGTGTTGGACAGGTAGGTAATGGAGTTTGGGGTATAGGGAGTGATGGCAATTTGTTTTTTAGTTATTGGCAAAAAGTAATGCCTTTTTTTCCCCCCCCCAGATTGTGGGTGAAGTACTTAAGCAACTAACTGAAGAAAAATGTAAGTGGATTGGACTGTTAATTAGTAAAGAAAAGGAAGAGTAGACTCCCCTTCCTCCCACCGTGAACTTTTGAAATGCTTATTAGTTTAATGATAATAATAATAAAGGTAGATGATATTTTTGCATAGATTGAGTTTTCTTTCAATTACTATCTTTTTGGAGGACAGAAATAGAACTCAACCTGCCATCAATGTGGATATATATATTTATTTTCCACTTTCTATTTTTCAGTTTGTCCTTTCATTTTCTTCCTTTAGTCATTGTTAAAGCTACAAATGGACCAAGATATGTTGTGGGTTGTCGTCGACAGGTAACACTTTACGTCCGTACAGTGCTTTATAATTGGTAAAAGTGCTTTCATATATGTTATTTAATTCTTGAGGTAAGCAGGTCAGGCATTATGCCCGTAACTCCTAAAGGTGATTTGTTCGGATATAACTAACAAAACTTGAACTCAAAGCATGGGCATTGACCTGGTATTCTCTATTTTCTACTCTGACCACATTGCCTCAGTAAGCTCTACATATTTAGAAATCTAAGAATTTTTTTTATTTATTTTTTATTTTTAGAGATTTTATTTATTATTTGACAGAGAGACACAGTGAGAGAGGGAACACAAGCAAGGGCAGAGGGAGAGGGAGAAGCAGGCTTCCCGCCGAGCAGGGAGCCCGATGCGGGGCTGGATCCCAGGACCCTGGGATCATGACCTGAGCTGAACGCAGACGCTTAACGACTAAGCCACCCAGGCACCCCGAAATCTAAGAACTTGAGAATTGGAAAATATCTCAGACCATTTTATTTTAATGTCTTTTTTGAAGAGACTTAGACCCTGTCAATTACTTATGTTTTATATTTAAACATTCAGAAATGTTACTCAAAAACTTTTCTGTAGCCTAAGTTGATTTTGTATGAGTTCGTTTAGATTAGAATAGGCAAATTGAAATAACTGCAAATTTCATTTTGCCGTCATAAAAAAATGCCAACAAATAATAACCCAGGCACCCCCAAAGCTATAGTTTTTAAAATAAATCTAAAGGGCATATTATCAAAGTAACACTGTACATCTTAAACTTATACAATGTTATGTGCCAAATTTATTTAATAAAAAATAAATAAAAATAGACTTTAAAAGAAAAAAAAATAAAGGGCATACCTTTAAAGTGCTTCCCTTTCCTTACCGCAAAATGTTCACTTAGAGATTTCTGTATAAATACTTTGGTACCAATTGCCAAAGTCATTATACTGTAGTGCCTGAATCAAAATAATGAGCAAAACTGTATGATGGTGAGCCTTTGAAAGTAAAATACTAATACCCATTTCTTTAAAAATAAGGCCTTTTCCACCACAAACTATATATTAGTGATTTCACATTTCACCCTGACATTGCATAAAGGGCACTCTTTTAAGGAAAATAACTTTGAATTATGACTTTTATAAGCCTTTCTGTTGGCATGGTGTTTATAATCTCATATTAGTGTTCTCTCTGAAGGGTGAAATTATTTGACTTCTAAATATTGTGCTCTTGTTAGAGTATTATTTCCCCTTTTAACTGTTATGTAACACTTTTTGTTTTGTAAAATTAGCTTGATAAAAGTAAGCTGAAGCCAGGAACAAGAGTTGCTTTGGATATGACTACACTAACTATCATGAGGTAGGTTTCTTATTCTTTTTATTTTAACAGAGGGAAGACTTTAGCCAAGATACATGTTTCTTGCGGGGGTGGAGGGACGGGGTAACCGGGCGATGGACATTAAGCAGGGCACGTGTGGTGATGAGCACTGGGTGTTATACGCAACTAATGAATCATTGAACACTTCATCAAAAACTAGTGATGTACTCTATGTGGGCTAATTGAACATAATAATTCAAAAAACCTCAAAATATATGCTTCTTTTTTTTTTTTAAAGACTTTATATTTATTTATTAGAGAGAGAGGTGTGCACATGAATGGGGGGGGAGTGTTGGGAGTGGGAAAGGCCCAGGGAGGGGGAGAAGCAGACTCCCTGCCAAGCAGGGAGCCTGAAAGTGGGGCTCTATTGCAGGACCCTAAGATCATGACCTGAGCCAAAGGCAGATGCTTAACTAACTGAGCCACCCAGGTGCCCCCAAAATATATGTTGCTTGAGATCAATGAGTATCTTGCCATTTTTCCCCTTTTACTAATTTCTGTTTAATGTAAGTGCATTTTTAGGAGATCATCTACAAGTGCTTGCATAAGCAAGTCATTTATACTCTGTCTATAGGCTGAGAGAAAATACATCTTGTAAAAGAAAAATACATATCTTATCATTATAGATATTTGCCAAGAGAGGTGGATCCATTGGTCTACAACATGTCTCATGAGGACCCTGGGAATGTTTCTTATTCTGAGATTGGGGGACTATCAGAACAGATTCGGGAATTAAGAGAGGTTGGTAGTGTATACTTTGTTCTCCGAACTTACTAATAAATAGTACTGGTTTTAAGACACCCAAAGGGAGAAAGAGAATGAAAGATTACTCTGTCCAAATAGTGGTTACTCAATATTATACATTTAAAATCTTGCTGAGAGAAAAATAAGCACTGAATTTCTAGCTATGAAAATTATAGGTATTGTTAATTTGGAGATAATTCGGTGCTAGAAAAACTGCTCTTTTTGTGACAAAAAAGAAAAAAAAAGCTACTAATTGATACTAATCTAATGCCCATGCCATTTGTGGTTTTGGTTGTCATAGGTTACTGGGGTCAGAGTACATTTGAATCGTGTGTAATACAGTTTTTCCCAGAACCTTATTAATGTTAGCTTCACATCCTTAAAGTAAGTTACCTGTACCTTAAAAAAATTTTTTTTTAAGATTTTTAAATTTTTTTTTTTAAGTAATCTCCTCATCTAATGTGGGGCTCAAATTCACAACCCCAAGACTAAGAGTCCTGTGCTCCACCAGCTGCACCAGCTAGGTGCCCCTGAACCTTAAATATTTTGTTTTGATAAAGCTGTTTGCTGCCATTTAAGAAAAATATTGGCTTTAGGGTAGCTTAAACCTTTTAAACTCTTGGGTGAAGAATCAAATCAGGATTTCCTTGCTTCATAGCATAGATGGCTTCTTAACAATTCTCCTTTTTTCATTTTTTATTAAAGATTTTATTTATTTGACAAGAGAGAGGCACAGCAAGAGAGGGAACACAAGCAGGGGGAGTGGGAGAGGGAGAAGCAGGCTACCCACCGACCAGGGAGCCTGATGCGGGGCTGTCCTGGGACCATGACCTGAACCGAAGGCAGACGCTTAACGACTAAGCCACCCAGGCGCCCCGTCCTTTTTTTTTTTTTAAGATTTTTAAAATTTATTCATTTGAGAGCATAAGCAGAGGGGAAAGGGAGAAGCAGACTCCCCACTGAGCAGGAAGCTTGACGCGGGCCTCGATCCTAGGACCTGGAGACCATGACCTGACCTGGAGGCAGACACTTAACCATCTGAGCCACCCAGGTGCCCCAATAATTCTCTTTAAAGCAAATTACATTGTCCTATTGGTTTCATCCTAATTGCGGATGGAAATGTTTAGGAATAAATGAGGATAGTTAGTATGGCTTACATCATCTGATTTAAGTGCTAAGCCAGTAGTTTGCAGACATTAGCATATTAAGTTTTCTGGAACTCTTATTAAAGATACGGATTCCTAGGCCCTCTGCATGATTTTGATGCAGTAGATTGGGGATGGGACCCAGGAGTTAGCATTTAAACAAGCATTCCAGGTGATTATACAACCAAATTGTTTTTGACCATACCTGAGGAAGGACTAGCATCATTACAAATAAAAGTCTATTCTCACTTTGTAGTTAATGAAAGGGCAGCAGAGGAAGAATGAGTGCTTCATGGAACTGTGAGATCTTGTCTTTTACAGTGATTTGCTGGATCAGCCATAGGAGCAGAAAGTCTTTCTCTTTCTCTTTCTCATACACACACACACACACACACAGAACCCACAAAACATGCACATGCAATACTCTTTTCCATATGCAGACGCTAAGAATATTGATTTCTTACACTTTTTATTTTAATCATACCTGGTGGACACGACTATTCAATAGAAGCTTATTTCTCATGTTACTGGTACTATAAAGAGTTTAATTTGGGCAGTCAGACCCTCAATTTTTCTATTCTCCAGCTTTCTTTCTTTTTTTTTTATTCTCCAGCTTTCTTTACTTGAATCAATATTAGTAGGAGATTGAGAGCAGAATATAGGGTTCTTTTTTTTTTAAGTTTATTTTTTTTTCATAATCTACACCTGTTGTAGGGCTTGAACTCACGACCCCAAGATTTAAGAGTCACATGCTGTCCCAGCTGAGCCAGCCGGGTGCCCTGAAATATGATTCTTTTAAGGCTGCTACGATAAAATGACAGTATGAAAATTTTATATGCCTTTTCTCCTAATGGCAGTTCTAACTTACTAAATTTCCCCATTTTATAATTATTTTGTGTTGTAGTCCCAAATGCAAAATAATATAGATCTTTTTTGTTTTTTCTTTTTTGCTTACCTGATTTTTTTGTAGTGTGATTTTTTCATTGAGGCTTAATTTACATTCAGTAAAATGAACAGATTTTAAGTGTACAATTCCAAATATGTTTTGACAAATTAGATGCTTGTGTACCATCACTTTAGTCAAGTGTATAGTTTGTTAAAATAGCTACAGACTTTTTTTTTTTAAAGATTTTATTTATTTATTTGAGAGAATGAGAGCGAGAGAGCACAAGAGGGGGGAGGGTCAGAGGGAGAAGCAGACTCCCCGCTGAGCAGGGAGCCCAATGTGGGACTCGATCCCGGGACTCCAGGATCATGACGTGAGCTGAAGGCAGTCGCCCAACCAACTGAGCCACCCAGGTGCCCCAGACTTTTTAATTTTTACATAATTAAAAAAAATCTCTTAAGTCTACCTGAAGAATAACCTCTAGTAAATGGCTTTACATAGCATGGAATTTTAGATCTATTATGAATTATAATGTGTATATCTAATTATGCTGATATTTCACTTAAAGTATTTTAAAGTTCATCAAAATCTTTACTGACTTTTTAAGAAACAGTCAATTTCTTTTCTAGGTGATAGAATTACCTCTTACAAACCCAGAATTATTCCAGCGTGTAGGAATAATACCTCCAAAAGGCTGTTTGTTATATGGACCACCAGGTTAGTGTTGAATTATGTCTGACCTAATAAATGAATGAATTAAGGAATAAAAAAAGTAAGGTGAAAATTTAATGTGGGCTATTCCAGACTACACACTATTTAGAGTAAGGAAGAAATAGGAGATGTCTGTCTACTATTCTGTCAGGTATGCTTAGTCCTCTTGTGCCTCATAGGATGTGCATCTTTACATGCCATATGATTCTGGTGCATTGGTCCTGTGTGGTTCACAGACCTCTGGCTGTTCCTGAGACACTTCCAGGGAGTCTGCAAGGTCAAACCTTACTTCGATAATACTTAAGACGTTAGTTGCCATTTTCACTCTGTTGACTTCTGTGCTGATGGTGCAAAAGCTGTGTGGGTAAAACTGCTCATTCCATAGCATGAGTCAGTTAAGTCAGTGACATGAAATGGTACAAGTAGTCATTGTAGTATTGACTGCTCATATTTGCAGTGTTTAAAAAAATGTGAGTTTTACTTTTAGATGTTCTTGGTGAAGCCGTAAAAATTATTTTTATTAAATCCTGATCTTTGAATAATGTTTTATATTCTATGTGATCAAATGGGAAATACATGTAAAGTATTTCTGTTGCATCCTGAATAGGATAGTTATCTCTAGGAAAAGCACTTGTGCCTTGAGTTGTCAGCTGAATTAGCTGCTTTTCATAGAATATGATTTTTACTTGAAAACGTAATTTACAGACATTCTGTCATTGTCAGACTGGTTTTTGATTATTCAGACTGGTTATTGCTTATCTGGCAAACCTTTTTTTCAAAAATGAATGAAGTTAGCCTGTTATGTTAAAACAACTGACATCATCTGTAGCCAGTGATAAATTTGAGCTTTCAAATGAAAATTAGGTTTTCAAAACTTATATCTGACAACTTTTTAAGAGAGTGCGCATGTAGGGAGTGGGAGGAGTGGAAAGGGAAAGAGAATCTTAAGCAGGCTCCACACTCAGCAGGGAACCCAACGCTGGGCTCCAGCTCACAACCTTAAGATCATGACCTGAGCTGAAGTCAAGAGTTGGACCTTAACCAACTGAGCCAGGCGCCCCCATCTGAGAACTTGCTGATGTTAATACTTGAAAGATGAGATTGGTGATATTAACAAATGCGGCTTTTAAGTATTATATAATGAAAAATGCCAACATTTGGAAGATTTTTCATAACTCACTGAACCAATAGTTTCCAAATAACCAATAGTAGTTGTTAAAATATCATGCATAGGTAAAAGATCCATTCATTGCAGGATAGACCAATGGATTATAATGTAACAGATTTATGTAGTGTCTGTAAAGAGGGGTTGATAAATTTTTGAAGATATGTATTCAGCATGTTTAGAATTATAAGGGATATTTTGAATAAAATTTAAAATTTTAATATTGCAAGTTGAAGTGCTTTAGAATTTTAAATGGAAATTCTCTTTAGGATTTAGCTTTCATTTTGCAAAATTTACTGTCCGGAGGATAACATATATAAAAGGCTTTTGAGAATTTGTTTTGCTTTCCATCTAATTAGGACTTCTTTTGTCACTTTAGGCACAGGAAAAACACTCTTAGCACGAGCTGTTGCTAGCCAACTGGACTGCAATTTCTTAAAGGTAAAGGGAAGATTCTTTTTATAGCTGTTGAAATTAAATTTTATTTGAATTGTCTTATGTTTACCTTAATGTTTTTCCTTTAATCAGGTTGTATCTAGTTCTATTGTAGACAAGTACATTGGTGAAAGTGCTCGTTTGATCAGAGAAATGTTTAATTATGCCAGGGATCATCAACCATGCATTATTTTTATGGATGAAATAGATGCTATTGGTAAGAAGAACACCTTTTAAAGTTTATTTTGAACTTTTTTTTGAAAGTGTTAGGAAATTTCTTAAAAATCTAAAGGAACCCCCCTCCTTCACTTCTAATTGCAATTTGTGTGAAGTAGCAAAATGAATTGAATGGTACTTTAAAAAAAAATTCTTAAGCAAGTTTAATCAGTTTTAATTTGACATTGACAAAAGAGAAACATCATACCAAAATCAATTCTAACTTTGTCAGTATAATTCTTACTATTTAATTTTTATCTTGATTTTTTAACTCCAGACACTATTATTCTGTCTTCTTAAATGATGGTTGTAGAGGAAAAGAGTAATTCATATGCGAATTTCCATATCATTATTTTAGGTGGTCGTCGGTTTTCTGAGGGTACTTCAGCTGATAGAGAGATTCAGAGAACTTTGATGGAGGTAATATTTGGTAAAGGGGGTTTAAAAAGAAGCCAGTGTGTATTAAATGAAAACATTGGATATTTGAAGGTCAGAATATGTAAAATGGTTTAAATGAAGAACACACTTAAGGGGCGCTGGGTGGCTCAGTTGGTTGAGTGTCCACCTCTTGATGTCAGCTCAGGTCATGATCTCAGGGTTATGGGATCAAGCCCCAAGTCAGGCTCTGTGCTCAGTAGGGAGTCTGCTTGAGATTCTTTCCCTCTGCCTCTCCCCCTGCTCGTAGGCTTTCTCTCAAATAAATGAATAAATCTTAAAAAAAAAAAACACTTAAATATAAAATTTGAAAATATTGCCAGGAATAAACACATTTCTTTACCACAATCTCTAGTTAGAAAATGTCTATTTATTGGAAAGTAATAGGGGTATTTACAAAATTCTATATGATGTATAGCTATACTACTCCATTTATTTTGAGCATACCGGCCATTCAGATATTTAAATTGTATATATTTCTGATATTCACATAGCAGAACGTGGTCTTGCATTAGTTTCATTAAGACATTTTATAAGTAATGGACGTATTGAAACTGGTGGCAATAAATGAGTTACAGTTATGAGTAACTAAATCACTAAAATCACTAACATTTTCCTCTATCGCTGAGAATAAGAAGAAACTATAAAATAGTTTTGATAATTGAAGAAGATGGATGATGGAATATTAGAATGTACATAAGGTCTTTCCCCACTCCAAATTCTGTGAAAGTGATGGCAAGATCCCAAACATTTTTCAGCTTCTACAAAGAAAAGCTAGGTTGCATAAGTGATAGTGTCAAATTCTGTCTCAGTAGGGGTATTTGAAAAGGACTTTTTATGAATTATAATGATCTCAAAATATATACAGTATTTTCAAATTAGTTCTATACTCCTGGAAACCTTCAACTGAGGTATTTTGAAACAACACAGATGCTAGTCTTTTTTTTGTCAGAGAGAGAGAGAGAGAGCACAAGCGGGGGGAGTGGCCGGCAGACGGAGGAGCAAGCTACCCACTGAACAAGGAGCCCAATGCGGGACTCGATCCCAGGATGCTGGGATCGTGACCTGAGCCAAAGGCAGACGCTTAAACGGCTGAGCCACCCAGGCGTCCCGCACTGATTCTAGTCTTATTCACATAACTGATATGTTGTCAGCTATCAGATATTTTTGGAAAAGAAATAGACATATTGTTAAACTAGCTATATTTTAGAGTTTGTTGAATACAGTTAGGTTTTTCAATATTTATTCAAGAAAACTTTAGTAATTGAAGGAAATATGCTTAGTGTCTCAGTATTTCTATGTATAGTGGAATTATCTGAAAAGATATTTAATAGATTTATTATCAGATTTGTAGAAATGTCATTGTATCTGATAATCTGAATGTAAATTTTATGTTCGGCTTACTGTAACACTGTATACATTAGATTTTATTAATAATGTTTTTAAAAGTAACTATGAAAAAAATTTGAACATTGGAAATCAGATCCAAATAGTTTAATTTTATAACACTTGGCTAGATGGAAACCTTCAGATTTATTAAAACTTTTTTGATAGCTATAAGAAGGTACATTGTTCAGTAATCTATCTCAGAACTTCAAGGCTGAAAAATCTATCCCTTTATATAAGAGAAAGAAGAGATAGTCCATCAAATGGTCATTCTGGAGGTGGCATACTATCTGTAGACAATGTATTTCACAGTATTAGACATATAGAAGATGTGTACTGTATATTTTTTAATGGTTGGGATATTCTGTAAAAATCTGTCACTGATTTTTATTTATAAATATATTAGTTACTGAATCAAATGGATGGATTTGATACTCTACATAGAGTTAAAATGATCATGGCTACAAACAGACCAGATACACTGGATCCTGCTTTGCTTCGTCCAGGAAGATTAGATAGAAAAATACGTGAGTTAAAGTTCTTTACCTGCTGTATGTTCTCTTTGTCTGTGTCCACTTCTCTTTCCATATCCCTTCCTCACCCCCTACTTTGTTTAAAAAAACAAAAAACCTAACTGCAAAAGAATTTCTTATAATTTTTTATTTTCAGATATTGATTTACCAAACGAACAAGCAAGATTAGATATATTGAAAATCCATGCAGGTCCGATTACAAAGCATGGTGAAATAGGTAAGGAAATAACCTATTTTATGTATATTTACATTTGGTAAAGGAAGCACAATTCTAGTAGATATCACTGATAGTCTACCAAATCTGGTTTTAAATTCAACAAACATGGAGATTTTAAATTCAGCTAATATTTATTGAGCATCTTTTTGTATGTTAGGAATTGTTCTAAGTGCTGGGGAATAGCAATGAACAAAACAAATTCCTGCCTTACAGAACTTACATTCTTGTCAGAAAAGACAGACAAGGTCAGTAAAATGTTTAGTATATTAGATGATGATATGAGCTATGGAGAAAAATAAAGCAAGAAAAGGGAAATAGGTAATGCCAGGAGCCAGAATGAATAGATAAATTTTTAAATGGAGGTGAGGTGGGGGAAGCAGAGGGAAGCCTTAACCAAATGGTGATTTTTAAGCAATGACCTGAAAAGGTGAAGGAACTAGGTATAGGTATTTGGGGGAAAATGATACAGAGCTCTGGAACAGCAAGAGAAAGACCTTGAAGCAGGTGTGTGGCTGGAACATTCCAGGAGTAGCAAAGATGCCAGGGTGTCTTTGGCAGAGTAAATGGGACAGTGGTAGCAAGAGAAGTCATAGAAGTGATGGGAATCAGATTGTGTACAGCCTTATTGAGGTCATTATGTAGGAACTTTGGCTTTTATTTTATTTTTTATTTTTGTTATTGGGAGATTGTGAGCAGAGGAATGATATGATCTTACCTTATGTTATTTTTAACTTCGTAGTGTAGAAAATTAGAAATACATGCAAGTAGAGATAAGAGAATAACAAACTTCTAACCCTAGGTTACTCATCCCCTACCTAGCTTTAATAATTATTAACTCTTGGCCAATCTTGTTTCATCTGTAATCTCTTCCACCTCTTACCTTCCTTCTGGATTTTTAAAAAGCAAATCCCAGGCATTGTATCATTTCATCTGTAAATATTTTGAAATTGACTTATGTTAAATAAGATCATTCTGGTTGCATGTAGAGGGGCAAGGATAGAAACAAGAGGATCAGTTAGGAGGATATTTCAATAATCCAGGCAAAAGATGGTGGTGTGGTCCAAGGTGGTACCAGAGTCTTAAAATAATGAGATTCTGGACATATTTTGAAAATAGAGGTGACAGGGCTTGCTAATGAATCAGATGTGGAATGTGAGCTAAAGAGAAGAACCAGGGAAGACTTAGGTTTTTGACTCATGCAACTAGAAAGATGGAGTTGTCATCAATGAAAATGGGGGAAGACTGGAAAGATTAGGTTATTAAAGGGGGAAAAAGGAGTTTGATTCTGAATATATTAAAGCTGAGATGCCAATTAGATACCAAATAAAGATGTTGATTGGTATTTCTATATGCATCAATAGTTTATTGGGGTGGTCTATGCTGGTGATATGATTGTGGATAATAACAGCATAAAATTATTTTTTAAAATGTGTATATATATATATTTTAAGATTTTATTTATTTATCAGCGAGAGAGGCAGAGGCAGGCAGAGGGAGAAGCAGGCTCCTTGCTGAGCAAGGAGCCCGATGTGGGACTCGATCCCAGGACCCTGGGATCATGACCTGAGCTGAAGGCAGATGCTTAACCGACTGAGCCACCCAGGCGTCCCCAGCATAAAATTATTTTTAAAGTCTTGAGATTAGATGAGATTTCTGAGGAAGTAAATGTGGTTAGAGAAGAGGTTCAACAACTGAGCTAATTCCAATATTAAGAAGTTGAGATGAAAAACCATCAAAGGAGACTGAGAAGGTATAGTCACAGAGGGGAATTAAACCAGGAGCTGGTGATGTCCTGGAAGATAAATGGAAGAGATTGTTACAAAGAGGGAGTAATTCCCTGTTAAATGCTGACAGTGGGTCAGAAAAAAAGACTTCTGAGAATGGACCTTTGGATTTACTATGTAGAGATTATTGGTGACGTTATTAAAGAAATTTCTTTGGAGCAGTGAGTGTAAGAGCCTACCTCAGATGGGTTTCAAGGAGATTGTAGGTAGAGGCTTTGAGTTCAGACATTTCTTTCAAGGAGTTTTGCAACAAAGAGAGAAGAGAAGAAATGTAGCTGTAGTGGAAATGGAGATGAAGATGTGGCGGAGCTTTAAGATGGAAGAATTTACAACACTTTTTTAATTGTAATGCGAGTGATCTAGGAGAGAAATTGATGATGCACTTTCCTTGAAGAGAGGTTGGCCCTGTCTATGAGCATAGACTTTTAATTTATGAGAATAGGAGGAAAGGCAGAATAAATAGATGCTGATGATGATAGTATCTCAAATATGGCAAAAACTTGTAGAATTTTTCTTCTGAATGTGTTTCTCAGTGAAATAGGAAGCAAATTCAGAGTGAAGATGGGGAATTGTTAGATATTTGAGGACAGGAGAGAAATTATAAAATCGTTATCTTCAGAAGTGAGAGTGCACTCTAGGATAGAGGTCAGCAAACCATTGCTGTGGGCCAAATTCTATCTGCCTTCTCTTTCTGTAAATAAAGTTTTATTGTAACAACCACTCCAATTTGTTTATATATTATCTGTGACTGGTTTCCCACTACAGTATCAGAAATGGATAGTTTTGACAGAGACCACATGGCCTGCAAAGCCTAAAATATTTACTCTCCAGCCCATTACAGAAAATTTGCTGACTTCTTGACTAGGGGGTTTTATACTGTTCTAGTATAATTGCCAGGCAGCTTTACAAACCCTTAGGAATTAGTGGTCCAAAAATGATTACAAATAGTTGATTATTGCCTCTCACTAACTTTCTCATTGCTTATGTGAAAATAGTTTTGAGCTGGGAAGACTGAGCTAAACTAGGGATGCCAATTTATAGGTTTTTTTCAATACTGAGCTCTTGCTAGGTGCCAAATACTGTGCTAACCTTGGGAATCCCTGCTCTCAGGATGCTTACTTACATGAACTTGAACCTGAATGAAAATTAATTAATGAGTATCTAATTGCAAATAGAGATTGACATACTGTAGATGGCCTGACAAATGGTATCTTATCAGAATTACATTGTAGTAGCCCATGCTGTCTCTTATTATTTCTCTCCTTATTCTGTATCAAGTCCTTAACTGCTGTTCCAAACCAATGACTCTTTATTTCAAGTCTGTCATGTGGATAAAAAGGTCACATAACCCATTACCATTATCATAGATCTAATACCTCACCACTTGGAGCCTGCACAGGAACCAGAAAAGCTAGCCATTTAGAAATAGTTGTTTAAAAATACATGATTAAAAATATGCTGAAAATTATTTCTGATGACCATTTTTGGTATTTTTATATTAATGTCACTAAATTTCATTGTGGTTAACAATTGGTTCTGAATGTTCTAAGTTTATCCAAATTAAAGATTTGGTTACAGTTTTTATAAGAGTCATGGCTTCACAGATGACTCAAGTTGATGTGTATATAACTTTCACTGCATAGAAACAGGTTAAGATACTTTCAGATCTTGATGCTATTTCTTGGTTTTTAAGTTCCAGAAGTATAGTATTTCTGTTTAATGCTGGTTTACTTAACAAAAGTATAATTTTTGGTGGTTAATATTGTGAAGGACTTGCTAAATATTGTGGAGGAAGGTTAACAGAGACGATGCCTAGTTGATCAAATTCAAAGCAAGCTCTGCAGTTAATTTTTCCATATCAGCATAAATCAAGAAAAAGTCTAATTATTTTATTATTATTTTTTAATCTTTTTATTTATTTCTAATTTCCAGTATTTTTTCCTAAACAGATTATGAAGCAATTGTCAAGCTTTCAGATGGCTTTAATGGAGCAGACCTGAGAAATGTTTGTACTGAAGCAGGTATGAATTTAAAGTGCAGTTTTTACTATTGATTTTGATTTGTTTAATTTGCTAAAACTGGGTTTATTCAAAAGCAGAGCCCGGGCTTTGCAAGGATATGGGTGCTTGGTTTTTTGAGAATTGGTTCCAAGAAGCAGGAGAGAACAGGCAAGTGAGTTGGAAAGAAGCAATGCTATAATAAGGGTGCACCATTGAGGTAGATGCTGTAGACGGGGAGATTTGATTTGATGAGACCTCAGAGAAACAGAGAATGCCTTCCAGGATTACTTGGCTGAAATATGGAGACTGGAGCATTTCTTTACCAGCTCTCATCCTCCATGAGAATTTGCCCTTGGGGATATTAACTCCTTTGTACTTACGGATGCCTTAGGGCAGAATGTGGAAAGACCTGCATGTGATAGCATGCCGGCCCCTGAAGTAAGTCTGAGACTGTACAGAACTGTCTGCCACACCTCTGGCTGAAATCAGACTGGGCCAGCACCAGAAGTAATCTGCTGCAAAATGGTAACATGTTTTCTGATACTAGTCTGTTAACAGCTTTGCAAGATTGATTTATGAATTTCGTGATCATGTAACTTATATAAAATGTATTTTTTTTAAAAAAAGATTTTATTTATTTGAGAGAGAGAGAGACAACAGGGGAAGGGCAGAAGGAGAAGGGAGGCTGAGCAGGGAGCCTGACCTCTGGGGCTTGATCACAGGACCCTGGGATCATGACCTGAGCTGAGGCAGACGCTTAAGCTACTGAGCCATCCAGGCACCCCAAATGTAATTGTTTTTAAATACAATTTTCTCTGTGGATTGTGTGATCCTATTTTTATTTTATTTCCGGTACCAAGTGGTTTTAAAACCATAGATAAGAGTCATTTGGTCCTCGTCTTCCACACAGAATCTTAAAACTAAAAAAATTAGTGGTGCCTGGGTGGCTCAGTTGGTTAAGCATCCGACTCTTGATCTCAGCTCAGGTCCTGATCTCAGGGTTGTGAGTTTATTATAATAATAATAAAAAAATAAAAATAATTTTTATAGTAGTTTTTATAGTTACTTTTCATAGGTTGTGGGTGAATACTTTTTAAGTATACAATATGTGATTTCCTCTTGTTTTTTTTATCACCTATAGCCTTATTTTAACATTTCTTATAAATTAAATAGTGTTTAAAGATGTTGCTCTGACATGGCTTCTCCATAATAGTATCTTCATGGGTATATTGTGACTCAGTATCTGCATCAAAAATCTGCAGGTCTAGAAACTCTCTCAGTACAGATCAGAGTAAATCATGCTCACAAAAGACTTACTAATACACAAAAAATGTTAGGTGGTAAACTTGCATGTGGCTTGAACTATTTGGAATAATTTATGACATTCTCTTTCCAAAATCTACACTGGACCAAATTATTATTAGAATACTGCTTTGGTAAAACGAATCCAAACAAAAGCAATGTCATAATCCTAAAGGTTGATACCATCAAATTACGATATTTGCTTTTTTTTTTCCAGTTTGTTTTATTTATTTTTATTGTTTTTTAAAGATTTTATTCATTTGAGAGAGAGAGAGAGAGCACAAGCAAGGGGAGAGGCAGAGGGAGAGGGAGAAGCAGACTCCACGCTGAGCTGGGAGCCTGACATGGGGCTTGATCCCCAGGACCTGGAGATCATGACTTGAGCCAAAGCCAGATGCTTACTCATCCGAGCCACCCAGGAGCCCCTTTTTTCAGTTTTATTGAGAAATAATTTACGTGTATCACCACATAAGTCTATGTCATACAGCATGATGGTTTGATTTATATTTATTGTGTAATGATTACCACAGTAGTTCAGCTAACATTTATCTTCTCATAGAGATACAATTAGAAAAAAAGAAAAGTAGTTTCTCCTTGTAATAAGAACCCTTAGGATTTACTCTCTTTCCTATATATCATATAGCAATATTAGCAGTAGTCATCATGTTGTACATTACATCCCTGATACTTATTTATTTCATAACTAGAAGTTTGTACCTCACATATTTTTTTTTTAAAAGTTATTTTTACTGGGGCACCTGGCTGGCTCAGTAGGTAGAGCATGAACTCTTGGTCTCCGAGTCATGAGTTCAAGTCCCATGTTGGGTGTAGAGCTTACTTAAAATATATATATGTATATATATATATATATATATATATATATATACACACACACACACACACACACACACACACATGTGTATTTTAACTGTTTCCAGGAAAGAGCTATAACTTCTGTGTAGATTACAATTTTAGCTTTTTAAATGGCCTGGGATATTCACATTTGGAGACAGAGAAATACTTTGGTTTTCTTTTTATTAGACTTCAAGCCTTTTATGCTAACATATCTTTCTGTAATTGAAAATAAACTTGATTCAGTTATAGTTGTCTTTTCCATTCAAATCCTGAGATTATCATCCTTTTTTGGATTAGAATGTATCTCAGATTCAGCATTCACTAAACAATGATTTGGAAATAGTCATGCACAAAGTTTGGAAAAATAACTTACCTACTTTAGTTGTAGTCTACTTTAGGTTTTAAAACTTCACTATTAAAAGACTAGAAATTTCTGGGGCACCTGGGTGGCTCAGTCATTAAGCATCTGCCTTTGGCTCAGGTCATGATCCCGGAGTCCTGGGATGGAGCCCGGCATTGGGCTCCCTGCTCCGTGGGAAGCCTGCTTTTCCCTCTCCCACTCCCCCTGCTTGTGTTCCCCCTCTCTCTGTGTCTCTCTCTGTCAAATAAATAAATAAAATCTTGAAGAAAAAAAACAAGATTTAAAGGACTAGAAATTTCCATTCACCTGATTTCTGAGTACAACATAGACTATTTCCAAGACTATATAGAAATCTTGAAAGGAAAGATAGAAAGCAACCCTTAAAATTTTCTCTTCCACTGATTGTATGTAAGTGAAAGTCAATATAAGCAGATCTTCAATGAAAATATTAGTAGGATTCATTTAATTAGCAGATAGTGATAACATACTAGCTTTAGCTTAAGGAATTAGGATTGTCTCAAAATCTTGGACCCATATCTGTGATAATACCTAATGTTTCAAAAAATACACATAAAACTTTTACCCCTTTATCAAGTAGTATTTGACAAGTAACTTATCAATAACTTGAGTTTTCCAAGTTTGTGGTACTTGAATATCAGTCATATAAAAATATCAATTTGTACATAAAGAAGGTAAATTTTAATATGTGAATAATGGCATTGGTTTTTTATATAAAGCCCAGTGTTGACTTTCTTTAATTCCTATTCTCTAAGCTTTTGATTATTAACAAGAAAAGACTATCAAAATTACTGGAGGTGTTTTGTTCCCTCCTTCCAGGCAGTTGTTGCCTATAGAGTTAAGAAGCTACTGCTTAAAATGTGCTTTTGTTGATAGTTGAGTTGTGTTTATTTTGCTTTTTCAGAAAGTCATTGGATACAGGGACTGTGTGAGCTAGATTTTAAATATCCAGATAGTTGTCTCATTGTTGTCTAGCTATTGGTTTGGAAAATAATGCTCACTATAGTTAAGTAATTGAATAAGGATGGTTGTTTTTAACAGATTAGAGCTACTGGCTCAGAAGTAGTAAATCTAGGCTCCTTCGCATTTATTCCGTAGAATTACTTAGTTTTCGTAAAATACATTTTTTTGAGATATAATTGACAAATAGCATTATGTTAATTTCAGGTGTACAGCATAATTATTTGATACTTGTTTTTATTGTGAAATAACTCCTACAATAACTCTAGTTAACATCCATCAACAAGGTATTTTTTTCTTGTGATGAGAACTTTTAAGATCGACTCCCAGCAATTTTTAAATATACAATACAGTTTTTTTTTAAGATTTTATTTACTTATTTGTCAGAGAGTGGGGAGCAGCAGGCAGAGGGAGAAGCAGGCTCCCTGCTGAGCAAGGAGCCCAATGTGGGACTTAATCCCCAGGACCCTAGGATCATGACCTGAGCCGAAGGCAGATGCTTAACTGACTGAGCCACCCAGGCATCCCTACAATACAGTATTAAATCGTGTCACCATGCTGTATATTGCATCCCCAGGACTTATTTTATAATTGGAAGTTTGTGCCTTTTGACTATCTTCACCCATTTTGCCCACCCCCCCCTTAGTTTTCTTCTAATTAACAAATTATTCACATATTATATACAGCAGTCATGTTGTTTTATTCTCCACAGGTATGTTTGCAATTCGTGCTGATCATGATTTTGTAGTACAGGAAGACTTCATGAAAGCAGTCAGAAAAGTGGCTGATTCTAAGAAGCTAGAGTCTAAATTGGACTACAAACCTGTGTAATTTACTGGAAGGTTTTTGATGGCTGCATGACAGATACCGGGCTTAATGTAAAAATAAAGTTAAGGAAAATAATGTATGTATTGGCAATGATCTCCATTAAATACATATGAATAAAAATAAATATGGATAACATTGTAAAAATTAGTAATTCAGTAATCCTACTTTGAAGATTGGTACAGAAGAAATTTGTATGTTTGTTAATGTTGCATTTATTGCAGCAGAAGTTATGACTATGTTAAAGCTTTTCGTATTTGCTGTGTGAGCATTTTGTAAAACATTGAAAGTAGTTTGAAATAGTACAAGAGAGCATTTATGACTTATTTTATATCATTTGTTTTCCTCATCCTAAAAAGTTGAATAAAATCTGTTTCAGTTCTCCAACACATATTTTTGTCTTTTTTAAAAGTACATTTATTATAGTCCTTAAATTCTTTAGTAAATAAACTATTTAATAACCAAAATGAGTTGTATTTAGATGACGGGCTTTTGAATTTTAAAACTGTACCCACACTCACTGTTTCTAAGAGTATCTTGTTATACAAAGCATAGACATGTATGTCTATATTGATAATGGAGGGTCTTTGTTTACTCTTCACCTGCTATGATTAGGCTGTGCGATAGTTAATTGAAAAAGTACATGCACATCCATAACCTTTTTTTAGATTATGATTAAAAGTAATATTTGCTAACAAATGTGACTTGGTTTTCTTGATTTATGTGGGATGATCGTTCCCTTTTTAGAATGTTAAGGTCTGGACCCTCTTCTCAGAAAAAGTCACACATACATACACACAATTTTGCATATACTAAAATTAAAGGAGATTTATTATTTCCCAAGCTCACCCATTGACTCTAGGTATCTATGGATACCAAGCTAAGAGTGTCTGATGTAGGGGATGTTGATGTCAGAAATGTTCAAAGCAAAAGTTCTGTTACCTACACACAATTCTTTTTATATCATGTGGAATTAAAGCCTTAACAAATTAAAATAGGAAATCATCATTGGGCATCAATTGAGATCTTATTAAAGGTGCTGTTTAAAAAAAAAACCAACTTCAGTTTAATAAAGACTAAAGAATGTATGATATATGATGTGAGTAATTATACATTCTTCAAATTAAAAACTTCTTAGCACAGTGTGTCTGTTTATAACTTTAAGAGGTAGGGAACAGTTTACATAGTGGTAGAGAAAATGGAGCACTCAAGCTAACCATCAAATTACTGAATAGTTCTATTTCTATATATGTTGGCAGTGTGTTTCATAAAAATGACAATATAAAAATAATGTTTGTCAAAGGGGTCTTGTTCAAGTATCCATGTGATTCTTTTAACTTTATTCATTGTAATTAGCAATTTAGTTAATGATTTTCTCCTTTCTACTTTGGTGTTTTGTTTTTTTTTTACAGAATCAGTTTGGTTTACAAACCTTGAAAGTTTAAGTGTGGATTCTTCTGCTTCTACGTTTGGTTTTCCTCATCTGTTTAAAAATAAAAAGCATAACAGTATCTCCCTAGGCCCAGAGAAAGTACCCTGTACCTAACCTCTATTTATAATATAGTATTAACAGACTCAAACTCCTTTTTAAAAGATACTGAAAGCCATGTAGTTTAATATATATAATTATATATAATATTAATATTTCAACATAAACTTAGAATGAAAGGGAGAGACCTTTCTTCAGTATGATTTATATACTGAGTGAACTATCAGTTGTTTCTTGTTCTTAGGATTTTCTATTTGCCATTGTTTTTTTCTAGTCATGTTCCCAAGTATTAAAAGTCCACCGTTTCAGTTTGCTTAAAAGTGATGGGTGTTTCATTTTCTGTGTAGCATAACATAGTTTTAAGATGAACTCTTGTTTTATTACTCTTTTGGTTATAACCTCACCACAGATTGCACCAGGATTCTGAGGGAAGAAACTACAGTTTTCCTTTCGGATGCCAGTTTCTGGTCGCTAGATGTTTTACCCTTTCTTGTACTGCAGAAGGGATTTGCGTCCTGTCTGGAAAGAGCAGAGATGGCCTGGTTTCCCACTGCCTTTCCCAGGACATTCAGTCGTTCCCTCCCTCCTGCCGCAGCCCCACCTCCTCCACACCCGGTGAGCTTCGGCCGTTGCTCCTCCGAGGCCCCGCCCCCTGCGTCTGCGCTCTGGCGAAGAGGCGGGGCGGTGGCGCGCTGACACCTGGCGGCCGCGGGGGGCGGGCCGAAGGCAAGCGTGGGCTGGGATTGGCTGGGGCAGTGCGGGGAGGGCGGGGGGAAGGAAGGGAGACGGTTGTAGGGCTCCTGCTTGTGCCCGAGCCTGTGCGGCCTGAGGGGCGCGGAGACTCAGGGGGAGGGAGACGGTAGCAGCATGGCGGCCGGGTATGAGCCGCCCAACCCTCCTCTTCCCCGCTGTCGCCGCCGTCGCCGCCGGAATCGCTGGGACCCTTTAGTCTGCGTGTTTTAGTTGTAAGCCCGCTGCCCGCCCGTCAGTCCTCCGGTCCACCCGCCCTCCCTCCTTTTTCTGCCACTGGCAGCCCGAGGGTCGGGCGGGCCGGATAACTCCCACTCCCACTCCCACTCCACCCACAAGCCCCGGGGCCGGGACCATGGAGGACGTGAAGCTGGAGTTTCCCTCGCTCCCGCAGTGCAAAGACGACGCCGAGGTGAGTTTGTCCGGTGACTGCCACGCACAGGCCTCCCCGTGTGGCTCCTCGGCCGCGGGGCGACCCCAGGCCCCAACCGTCGAAGTCTCCAGCTCCACCGGAGCCCTGTTGCCTCCTGATACGGTCCTGGGACCCCGGAGAGGAGCGTCGCGCTCTGGGGCGGCGTGCTTTGACCCTCATTCACTGAGTACCTTTTCCCCTCCTGAGACCCTGCGGAGGGGCTGCTGGGTCTGGTCGACTTAATTAAATGGGAAGGGCAAGAGCAGCCTTTTCTCTCCCAGGCTCGGCGTCTAGGACTTACTTTGAGTAAGGTTCCCCATTTTATTGCCAAGGCAGTACGAGGGTAATGTTTTAAATCTCAATTTGAGGTATATTTTTGGTGTCATCGAGTCGCTTGTGGGACACATGACCCCACATGTGAAATAGATCTGCGGCCTGAACTTTCGAAGTGCACCTTCAAAAAGTTTTCCAAAGTAGTTGTTTCGTTTTGTTTTTTTGAGGCAAAGCCTTGACCCGCAGAATAAAATGTCACAAAGCTAGCACATTTGAATCTAAAAATTTGCCCTTTGGAGGGAAGTTGATACGGAGAATGAAATTCTTTATAACCTGTTCTCCTGATTTCTAATTCGGGATTCTTTGTACTCCACCTTACTTCTTCCTTGCCTAAAGCTTGTATTGAGTTCCCCCCACATCTATTGCTAGTTTAAAATAAAATGGTGTTACACTCTACTAAATTAGAATTTTCTGAAGACTAAATTAGTAACAAGACAAGGATACTCAGTTATGCTCTAGTAGGATCAAGAAAGATTAAAATTTCTGGTTCTAAATATCTTAAAAATAATTGGAAAATAAGGCTATATTTTTAAGAAACCATTCAGTTTATACCAAATATTCTTTTGAATATCTTCTTTTGGGGTTCTAATTTTTTATTTGGAGGGATCCTTTGTAGTAGTAGTCTTTCAGAATTTCATATTTTAAGAGTAGGCTGTTAAATAGGAAAAAAAGTTGAATTTTGGTTATTTTAAAAAAATAAATTTACACTTTTTTCTTTGTTTAATATGGAATGATGTGAATGAGGAATATGCTTTTTTCCTTAAAACGATCCAGTGATTTCAGTCTGAAAGCAACCTTAAGAAGTAGTGTAGAGCATTGTCTCTTTTCAGGTGAAGAAATTGTAGCTTACTAAGAATAAATGATACGCCAAGGTAACAGTAGTGTAAGACACAGTTGAGGACCTTGGTCTCTTGATTCCTAAAACATAGTTTTTAATGTATCTCAATTCTTCCCTTCTCTGATCTTTTTTATAATGTTTACAGACTTGCATTTAATCTTTTATTATGTGTGTGTCTTATTCCTGTAAAAATTATAAAATCTTACTGGGAATATAGCTTTCCTCTGCAAGGACAGAAGTAGTGCTTAAAGCCTAGTAGATAATGATGCAAATATTATTTACTGAAAGCCAGTTCATGCCTTTTTTCATAGCACTGGATGTTTGTTTTCTTTTTGGTTGCAAGTGACAAAAACCAACTCAGACTAGCTTAAACAAAAGGAGAAGTAAATCCAGAAAGGTAGGGGTGCAGCTGGTCTCAGGGACTTGACTAGACCGTATTATAATGCATCAGAACTGCCTCTGCCTCTCTACTTTCTCTCAGGGTGTCTGCTTGTACTCTGGCTTCTCCACAGATAAGGAGTTTGTGAGTTCCTTCAAGGTCACACCCTTACAGAGCTTACACACTGAGGAGAATATCTCTCTAAGCTTCAGTATTTAAAATCTAGAGGATTGGTTTAACCTAGCTCATGTGCCATTCTTTGGATCAGTCCCTATAGCCATAAAGGGGCGAATACAATGAGGAGCCCAAACTCACTTCTGTGGCCAGGGGAGTGAAGTTCGTCATTGGTAGCCCTCCTGCCAAAACCATAGGAGCATTTCCACAGAAGATGGGGGTTGCTTTCTGGGCAATAAATAACCATTAAATAGGGCATATAGTTATTCATGATAAACTAATAAAACAGAATGTTAATTTTCTAATATCCCATGAGATTTAATGGTCTTAACGTAGTTATGGTGACCAGCCAATAAAGTGTTCTTCCATCTAGGAAGCATTTCATAGAAAACTAAATTACAATCCAAATCTTGTTTTAGTAAAAATGGAATTCAAGTAGAGAAATTTTAATGCATGCTCTTAATGATTGATGTGATCAATCTATGACAGCTTGATGATCCTGTCACCTCTACAAGAATATTACTTCCACATTTCTTGAATACTAGTCAGGGCATTCTTTTAGGACAGTCCTGGCAAAAATTTAGCTGTGTTCAGATCGGTTTGCAAAAAGATTGTCACTCCTTTGTTTAAAACTTAGCTGTGATTTCCCATTGTTTTAAGGATGAAGTTCAAACCCTTAACATCTGCAAGGTTGTGTGTGATCTGCCATCTGCTTGCCTTTCTAACCTCATTATGAGCTACTCTTCCCCTTGCTCCCTTCTTTTCCCTAGCCATGTTCATCTTCTCTCAGTTCCTGGAATGCTTTGGTTCCTTCCACCCTCCCACCCCCAACCAGGACTTTTGCGTTTGCCATTTTCCTCTCTGTGGCTGCCAGCACTACCCTTGCCGTCACCCAATTAACTATTTGCTCTTGGTAAGTTAGCTCTCACTCTAGGTATCATTTCTTGAGAAAAGTGTTCCCTGATTTTGCCAACTCCTCCTGCTCCCCTCTCCCACCCTCTCACCCCC